AGCAGCTAGGACTCACTGAGGTCAGCTGTTGCTTGTTTGATTGGATTTAGGAACCAAGACCAGCCATCCTTAGGGAAAAGCAGCTTGGGTGGGCCAGTAAGTTGGGTGGGGTAGGGCATATGTGGATCTCCAAGCTGTATCACACAATGTTAGCAGATTGATGGAGTCTCAGATATGGCACCAGCCTACAGGCTCTGTTGGGGGAAGGCTCAGCAAAGGGACAACGGTCTCTCTTCATCCTGATGCCAGACACTCAGTTTCTCCTTATATACCACTGGTGCTCTTCAAACCCCAATGCTGGAGCCCAGAGGGAACAAATCTGAAGAGATGAGTCTGTATGTGAGTTCCCCAAGAGAAACTGCTTAGGGCTCTAGCAGCTTCCTCCATTGACTAAATCCCTGCTGGTTTTTGCAGCTAGAAGTTGTGGGGACTTATCTTCCTTGTACTGGAATCCTGGGCTGGGGAGCCTGGTGTGGGTCGGGAACTCCTCACTCCCAAGGTATTCCTTCCAAATTTTTATCCACATGGGTGTGAGACCAGCCCATTCCACATCTGCACCTCACCTACCAGTCTCGATGGATGTGGTAGGTTTCTTCAATTCCGTAGTTGTCAGGCGTCCATTCAACTCAAATTTCTGATGTTCCTGAGTGATGGCTGTTCTGTATTTTAGTTGTAATTTTGATGTGGTTGTGTGAAGAGGCAAGCTATGCCTGCCTATGTCATCATCTTGACTATAAGCCTGAGGACTTTATCTCTAAGGCGTTTTTAGACAACAATGGAACATCAAAAATAGAAATCAGGAAAAAAAAAATCCCATTTGCTATAGCAACAAGAAAAATAAAGTACCTAGGAATAAACCTAACCAAGGAGGTAAAAGACCTGTACTCAGAAAACTACACAAAACTGAAGAAATAAAGGAAGACATAAATAAATGAAAACATACACCACGTTCACAGATTGGAAGAATTACATCATCAAAATGTCCCCACTACACAAAGCAATTTATAGATTCAATGCAATCCCTATTAAAATACCAATGACGTATTTCACAGACACAGAACATTTCAAAAATTTATAAGGAACCATAAACAACCCTGAGTAGCCTCAGCCATTTTGAGAAAGAACAAAGTAGGAGGGATCACAATATCTAATATCAAACTATATTACAAAGCCACTGTAATCAAAACAGTCTGGCACTGGCATAAGAACAGACACATAGATCAATGGAACAGAATAGAGAGCCCAGAAATAAACCCATGTTTCTATGATCCATTAATATTTGACAAAGGGGGCAGGAGTTTAAAATGAAGTAAAAAATAGCCTCTTCAACAAATGGTGTTGGGAGACCTGGACAGCTACATGCAAAAAAATGAAATTCAATCAACAACTTACCCCATACACAAAAATAAACTCAAGATGGATAAAAGACTTACAAATAAGTCACAATATCATAAAAGTCCTAGAGGAGAACAAAGGCGGGAAAATAAATATTGAATGCAGCAACAGTTTCACTGATATGTCCTCTAGAGCAAGGGACATAAAGAATAAACTCATGAGACTTCATCAAAATAAAAAGCTTCTGCATGGCTGAAGAAAACATCAGCAAAATGAAAAGGGAACAAACCATGTGGGAAAATATATTTGCCAGTGATACCTCGGGCAAGGGTTTGATCTCCAAAATGTATAAAGAACTCACACAACTCCACTCCCAGAAGATAAATAATCCAATTTAAAAAGTGGGCAAAGGACCTGAACAGACACTTCTCCAAGGAGGACATACACAGGGTCCAGAGACATATGAAAGGACGTTCAGTATCACTAACCATCAAAGAAATGTAAATTAAAACCATAATGAGATACACTATTTCACACAGGTCAGAATAGCCATCATAAACAAATCAACAAACAAGTGGCAGTGAGGTTGTGGAGAAATGGGAACTGTTGGGAAACGCCCTGTCTGGTTTTAGGAACTGTAACCCCGCCAACAGGCTGGAGAGCCCCACGGCTGGAAATAATCAGGGAGGCCATGGAAAAACAGGCTCCTGAGGAGACAATAACCTGTCCCCCCCGGCAGGGGCGTAGCTCCTGCCTCTATTTGCAATGTGATGATCGGTAGCCCACCACGGGCAAGTTATCTCGAGCTGAGATATAAACCTAAGACAGATTTCGATTGAGTATTGGCAGCAGACAAGAAATTAAGAGGACATGGAGAAAGGGCAAAAAGGCCCGCACCCCTTGACTCGGCTTGGACATGGCTGGAGTCCTCATTCTATCCAAAAGAAGTCTCCTTGTCTCTTGGTGGCTCCCTCCCCCAGCCTGGCTCAGGCTCAAAACAATACCAACAATACCGGTGTCGATCCTACACCAGATCCGGTTCCCAGGGAAATCAGGCCTAAAAGTAAATTGTATAAAGTGTGCTTTGTTCTTCCCTCAGAAGCTACAGCCAGCTCATGCAGAGAAGGAAATTTACATTATTCACAGACCCTGACCCTATACCCTTAGGCACTCTTATGTTTACTACGCTTTCATGTTTAGTCGTCTCTCTTGTTTACTAGTCTCCTTTCAGACCCATGTAAATCCCTGTGTTCCTGCCACTTGTTTTCTTCAAAACATCACCCATTCTCTGTGAACATTAATATACTGATCTAATGAAATAACCTGTGCATTTCTGTTACCTAGCCCCATTGATAACCTTTTCAATAAAAGGCTTTGGAAAATGGGGTTAGGGGGGCTTCTTGATGAAGAAGGAAGTGCCCATGCCCCCTCTCCTGGCAAACAAGTATTTGCAATGACTTGAGTTTATTCCTCCCATCTATGACAATCCCTGGATGGATCTGAGCATTCAGAGCCCTGCTCCCATCTTCAGCTAGCCCTGGATGGTAACCCTCAGATCTGGGAGTGCCGCCCTCCCCACGACACGTTCCATCCCCCATGCAGCAGTTGCTGCCAGACCTAGGACTAGCTGTGCTCCCCACTGCGGAGCACCTGAACAGGGATGTTCCCCGAGGCGTCATTCACCCCTTCGGAGCCCAGCACAACAGGGAACCCTAATACACTGTTGATGGGAATGCAGACTGGTGCAGCCACTGTGGGTAACAGTATGGAATTTTCTCAAAAAGCTAAAAATGGTACTGCTTTTTGAACCAGCAATTCCACTGCTGGGATTATATACCCTAAGAATCCCAAAACACCAATTCAAAAGAACCTATGCACCCCAATAACAGCACAATTTATAATAGCCAAGTGCTGGAAGCAACCTAAGTGCCCATCAGTAAATGATGATCAAAAAACTGTGGTACATTTATACAATGTAATACCATGCAGCAGAAGGAAGGAACTCCTATCCTTCATGACAGCATGGCTGGAACCGGAGAGCATTATGCTAAGTGAAACAAGCTAAGTGGCAAAAGACAAATACCATATGATCTCACCTATTATTGAACCTAATCAACAGAACAAATAAGCAAGCAAACTGAAGAGTAAATGTAAATACATCTTCCATTCTACATGGACAACAACCAAGAACACACACTAATGCTTGCAAATGAGTTAGAGGTAGAATAAAACACTACCTCAAAAACCAAACATACTAAAAAAGTAATATTCATAAAACATTATTTATCAATACTTATCGTTGATGAAAATGCTGTGACTAGAAGTTTGCTGAACCTAATCCTGTACTTCCCCTAAGAGTAATGATTCAGTATTTGTTAATTCAGTGTTGGAGGTTACTTTATAGGATACAACTAAAATGTACAATAAGAATCAATTGTAGAAATTGGATGAGCATGAGGATCCTTCTTATTGAGATATCTTTTAGTAACAAGAGCCACAGCCTGCTGACTGGAAAGCTGCTTGTCCAATTTTAAAATAGCTTGCTAAATACACAAAGAGTACTTGAGGCACTGGGACAAATCTACAAAAGATCTCTATATAGTATATGCCTCTAGATCACAAAGTGGTATCTTCTCAAATGCAACCTAGTGGAGCTGTGCTTTCCAATATGAAAAAAGAGATCACAAAACAGTTCATTTTGTTACCCATACATGTGCATATTTATGAGGATATTGCATGGAAAAAAGTCTAGAAGGAAATAGAAGAAAATGTTAACAATACTGTATCAGAGAACTATTACCTTTTCCCCTGACAAAATGCTGAAAGGCATATAAAAAAAAGCTATAAAGATAAACATGCAGGAAAGTGAACTATACTATCTGAAGTCCAATCACCACTGAATATCTACCAAACCCCTGAAAAGTGGCTAGTTCAAAGTAAAATATGCTGTGGAAAATACACACTAAATTTCAAGGACTTAGGACAGAAAAAGAATGTAAAACATCGCATTAACTTTTTTCATTAGTAATTTTTATGATGGCATTGTTTGAAACAATATTTTGGGTCTATTAAATAAAATACATTATTAAAATTAATTCCATTTGTTTCTTTTTACTTTTAAATGTGCCCACTAGAAAACTTTAAATTACACATGTGGCTCATGTCATATTTTAATTGGACACAGGCTTCTAGTGGAACATGGAACTCAAATCTTAACATAGACTTTGGCCCCTTCATTTGCAGGGTAACAGGTAAGCTAAAATTAACAATAAAACTAAAAAACTACGGTATCTGTGACAGACTGAGAGTCGCCTCTCTATATCCAGCTAAAGAATTGCATTTGCCACAATGGGTGATAATGCATCTGAATTTTGCTCTATCAGATGCGTTGTATGTTTGACTTACAGGAAGTCTCCTGAAATTCAAGGTGACTTGCAAGTCTTTCTTCTCCCTCTTCTCCATCCTATTGCCTGGAATATGGATATGACTGCTGATGATAACCATCTTGGACAATGAGTTTGAAGGTTATAACTTAGACATGGCAGGATGGTAAGCTAGAAAGATTCCTGCTACCTCTACATTTTTCTACTTGAGAGCGAGCTTTCTATGGTATTTGAGATAATGTTAATGGGATTTTCCATTACACATACTGATTAGAAACTGACCTTTGAATTATTCTGGACAGATTCAATGAGCAAAGACAGCTTCCTCTGCAACTCCTGCAAGTCCTTTGAGGTACTCGGGGTTTCCTCTTTGGCCATCCTGCAACCCACTTGCATCTCTTACAGATTAATTCTTCTACCAGTAAGCTCTCCAGTGCAGCGTACAGGTGAATCACTCATGTCACCCTGTCTCTTGTTGTTACTGGAGGAAACAAAAGTTTCTTAAACTATTAGTGCTCTTACCCAACCGACCCAACAAGAGCTTCCACTGTCTTCACACACTGATGTTTGGCACACAGATGGAGGATAAGTTCACAATATCTATCAAAATTTCATATGGCATACACCTTGATCCAACACTTTCTTTTCCAGGAACCTGAAGGAAATAATCAAACAGGTATATCAAAATGTACCAAAAAGATGTGCAGTGCATCTCTGATTATAATACCTAATAAATAGCAAAACAATAGAAAGAAGCTAACTGTCCATTAGTAGAAAATTGGTTAAGTGATAAATACATAAAATGAAGTGTAGTTCCATCATTAAAATGATGTGGCCATTTGGTGACATGAAAATATACCCACAATAAGTGAGGAAAAAATGATAAAATACTTAACATGGTTGAATATTTTATTCATATGTCCATAGTAAAAGGTCTAGAAAGATATTTAACAAAATGTTAATGGTGTTATCTCTGAGAGCTTATGTTTATTTTTTGGCCTGACAAAAATACTGAAAAGACTATAGAAGAAAGCAAGAAAGCTGAATATACTATTTCAACTCCATTGTCCTCTTTTGTTTCTTCCCAGAAAGCCCTTCTCAAGCAACAGTAATGGTGGCCAATTTCTGTATTTACTACCCACACCTAATTTGCTGGCTGTCAACTGTCCTGTGCCATAAATCATGCTCTATTTACTTGTGTCTATGTCTGCCTCGTAACAAAGTGTCAAAGGGGCAGACCTGGCCACAAATATACTCTGTGACTCAAAAGCCAGAAATTTCCAGGGCTGTCTCGATTTCACATAATTACTTATTTTTTATTTAATATCTCACATACTAATCGAGTGTATGTGTGGGGGGGTATCTCTTAATATATATAGGGTTCAGTAACAAATTAAAGCATACTGTAATCACCTCAGCTAGAGACACTCTGCTACCATACCTTCTGTGAAGCAGGAACTTCTTGGACGGAGAGGACAAACTACTCCATCCCCAAATTCTGTCTTTGAAGCTGCAGCTGACACAGATCTTGGATTTCGGATGTTTCCAGCACTCAGCTTCCCTACTCTCTATGCAACGAGTAGAAACATGCCCGGCTCCCTTTACTGGTCTACCAGGATTGGGAAACTCAGGGCTCCCAGGACCGGTTTGGGGAGCTCGTCGGGGCGGGCACGTGTTTGGTCCAGCACTCTCCAGTGCCTTCTCCGAGCCCTTCTTCCGGGCTGAGCCCAGCAACACAACCCCGCCGTCCCGCCCGGGGCAACGCTCCAACAGCTCTCACGCGGCGAGGGGCGTGGCGGCTGCATGCCGCCTCCTCTAGTCGCCTCCTCCTGTCGATCTGGCGCCCGAGACGCGGGGGAGGGGAGGGGGTAGAGGGAAGAGGGGGGAGGGGAGGGGGAGGGGAGGGGGAGGGAGGGGAGGGGAGGGGAGGGCGAGGGGCAGGGGAGAGGGGCGGGGGGCGGGGGGGGGCGGGGCGGGGGAGGGGCGGGGCGCGGCTGGACAGGGGGCTCCCGCCCGACAGGACCCAGAGACTGAAAAAGGGGGAGCTCAGGGGGGCAGTCCAGTATCCTGTCACGGATTTGGGGACCTGCAGTGATGGCGAGGGGTTCTCAGGAGAGAGGAGGGACCCGGTGAGGAGGACACCCGTTTTCATTAACCCTGGTTTCCCAAAATGGGGCAAGGTCGGGGCGCTGGGACCAGGCTGGCCACCCTTTCACCAAGTCCAGCGGTAAGTGCAGGGCCGCATGTGCGCGCCCAGTCCTTCCCAGAGCCTCAGAGTATTACACTCATCCCATTCTTAAACCAGGGGCGGGGATGGGGCTGCAGGCGGGGAATCCCGACTGCCCTCTCAAAACCCTCCTGCGCTCCGCCACCTGCCCTGCCTGGCAAAGGGGCCTGGCCAGCAGGGCACCTGGTACCCCCACCCCAGGGCTCTCACCTAGTCCGGGTGGGCGCGCTCCCCAGAGTAGAAGGTGGAGCTGAGGGAACTAGACCAGCTGGAGCAGGAAGGCACACTCAGAGCAGGCGAGGGCGGGAGCTTGCTGCCCTCTCCGGCCGCAGGCCCCGCCCCTCTTCGGCCTTGCGCCTGCGCGGCCGAAAGTTGGGCCTAAGGCACCGTAAGCCGCCGCGGCTTGTCCTGGCAGAGAGCAATGCCACCACCCTACCCCTAGTCTCTTGGAGCCACCTGGACAAGCCTCGAGAGTTTTACAGATGAGGAAACAGGCTCACAGAGAGTTGCCCTTACCACTCCTGTTATGCGAGAGTGCTCAGGCCACCGCTGGGACAGGTGGACAGATAGCTAGAGATATCCTGAACCAGCTCTCCTGGAAATATCCCTGGAGCTCAGGGGGTGTGGAGTAGGATTTCGACTGGAAGGTTTTAATTAAGCATTACTTCTGAAATGCAAGTGTTATGACCCAGAGAGAACCTTAAAGACGGATTAGATGAGTATCTGTGTTTTTCGTAGGTGAGTCTAAGCTCCAGTCCCCTGGTTCTAGGCAGAGCCAAGAGCACTTCCAGCAGGATTTCTCAATGGCAGGCTACTGACACTCTGCACTGGAAAGTTCTGTGTTGAGGAGCCTGTTCTGCACCGCAGGAAGTTTAGCAGCATTCCTGGCCTCCACCCACCAGATGCCACTAGTACTCCCTTCCCTCCTCCATCCCCCCCCCCCCCCCCGCCCCCCCGCCAAGTTGTGACAACCAAAAATATCCCTAGGCATTGCCAAATGTCCCAATGGCTCAATCATGGCTCAATCGTCCCTGGTTGAGAAAAACACTGCCATAGGGCATACTGGTAAAGACATTGGGCTTGGGGAGTCCAACAGTTTTGGGCTCTCATCCCAGGACTGACTGTCACTGTGTGACCTGGGATGAGTGACCTCTCTGAGCCTCAGCTTTATCTGTAAAAGGAAACCTGAGCACTGGCCTGCTACTGCACCACAGTTTGTTATCAGGCACTTTCCAACATGGGATCTATGTTGACCTACATTTATTCTGTGGCCTGTGTCCATTACATCCTGTTCTCTCTAGGCAAACAGGCAGCCACAGGGTTACAGTGAGGACTGGCTGTAAAGAACTTAGCACAGAGCAGGAACATAGGTTCCAAAATATTCGATGGTATTACTTCTCCCAACTCATGTTTCTAGAAGTAATCAAGCTGGAAGATAGAAAAATAAGTTTGGAATTATAATAAAAATAAGCTAAGGCATCAGATTCTGCCTCCACAAGAGCCAAGAAAAGAGAAGCTAATAATGGTGGGTGGAGATTGGAGGATGTGGGCAGATAAAGTATCCCTAAATTTTTATGTTTAGATTAGTCCTGTGTGACTTCCTGCACTTGGTTCTGCTGCAGTACCACCCAAGAAAAGGTTTTTGTTTGTTTTAGAACAAAACATTACCACCGTTATTCCCTAGAGGGTATTGTTTTTGGGACGCTGAATGCGGCTTCCACTGGTATTTTTAAGTTCAAGGGCGCCATCTAGGGGCACTTCTGTGAATCCCTAATTCCTTCCACCTCTGTCATTTTTGTAGGGCCAGCCAAGTTTCACTTTTCTTGTATGTTGGCTACCTCCTCCACCACATTATTAATTTCCTTATGGCCAGGGTCTTAGCATCTCTCCATGGCATCAGGATGTGGCTCTTGAGGGCCATTTGATGGGTCAGTAAAACAAATCCATTTGCAGTCTCTTACATGTCTTTACAGTTACCTCTGGGTAAGCAGCCATTTCAGGGCTCAGGAAAGACCTGTCAGGAGCACTGGGCACTGAATAGGAAATGTGTGAAAACTGTTCACCCATAGAGATGGTGACAACCTAGACCCCAGTGGACTTCTCTCCATATGGCCATATTTAGTAAATAAAAACACAGGACACCTGGGTTAATTTCAATTTCAGGTAAACAGCATAACATTTTTTAATATTAGTATGTTCAACTGTGGAGTGGAACATACTTATACTAAAAAAAGTTTTTATCATTTACCTCAAAGGCCCAGTCCCTTAATGCCACTCACCTCTACATTCCTGGATCATTATAAAACACCCTCCCATCTTTCCTTCTGTCACCATATTTTCTGCTGCCTGGCTGAACTTGCAGTAATGGGACACATCAGGACACTAAGTGAAGTCAAGCCCAGTCTTGTATCTAGGCGCAAGATAAAGAGCCTAGAGGCCTCTCTTTCTTTAGCAGCAGATGCTGAAGCCTGGTTATGGGCTTCAGGGCTTACAAACAGCACGCCCAATGTTAAAACAGCCCAGAGAGGAAGAGAGAGGAGAGTTCAGGCTGCCAGGGATATTGTTTTGTGGGATGCTTTCTCCCTATTCTATCTTTTAATATGTAACCCTGCTTAATTTCTCCAATGGACTCAGTGTGTTCCTGGAAAAGATCCAAGAGGAGCACCTCAGTGGGATGGAAGAGTGGCCACTGCAGGAGGAGTTGGGACCACAGCACAAAGCCCAGCAGCACCCCAATGCTACCTCTTTATTCTCTAGGTTCCGTTTCTCTCCTCTTCTATCAGGGAATTCCTCAGGGGGCTGAAGTCTGTGACCTCAGAGAGACAAGCCTGTGAACAAAGCTTTTAGAACATCTGGAAAGTTCCATTTTCTGTGTATCCCCGTTATGCTCTAAGGGAGTATGAATTTCAGAGCCACTGGTAAGAGGGATAGAAACTGAGAATTCAACTCATTTTTAATAGGTACAATTAGAATGTACAACATGAATGACATGGACTGCTCATCTCCAAACGTATGTATGAATTTTAAGGTGTATTTCTTTTTTTTAATTAAATACTTTATTGTTGTTCTTGTACGTATTTTTTTAACCTGTATTTTCAACATGTAGGGAATTGGGGAGTGGATGGGAAGGGGATGTTTTGATCCTAGACCAATTGCCATGTTGGATTCCTTGACTGAGGAGGTGTGCTAATCACACTTTTATGTTGTGTCCTTTGAAATATGCTTTTTGCTGACTTAGGCTTTTTAGTTTTACTCCAATCCTCAAGTTTTACTGGGAAAATTTCAAGAGTAGACGCCTGTTGTTCCTTTCCCTTCACTTTTAGGGCCAGTAGGCCATATATTCCATCCCACAGTTCCTAACACTGGCTACATATCAGAATATCCTCATTCCCAAACATGCTGATCCAGAAGGTTTGGAGTGGGGCCCTGGCAACTCTATTTTTAGCTAAGACTATAGTGATTCCACTGTAGCCAGTCCTTAGGTGAGCATTTAGAAATGGCCTCTTTGAAGGATGTACAAACATCACATGCAGTCAGAAATAAGCCACATGAAAGTAGCAGTTCTACACAATCTAAGTGTCAGGATCTTGGTTGTAAGAACAAAGATCCATTAGGTAGCCAAACACTGAAGTGCCCAGAGATGCATTTTAAATGGAAACTTTATGAAATTAAAGTAGATTTGTTTATAATTCTGGAGCCCATCCTCTGAAATGAAACTCCCTGTAATTTAAAATAAAACTTAAGGATTAATATTTTTAACAAACCATTGTGCATAACTGGGTAGTTCTTACAAAAAGCCCCATCTCTTCCCCAGGAAGAGAGAATTCTTAGCCAGGTATGGTAAAAAAACCTTCTTTGTTCTGTTCTGGAATTGATTTCTAGATCTGCTGATCTTCCATATGTCACATGTGTTCCTGTCCCATGGACTGAGATCTTTTCTGCTATTAGAGTATTATGGTTCTGTGTGTATTTAAGTCTTAGTCTCGTGACTATGAACTAGGTCAAAGTTTAATTTGTTCTTCAGAAGTTCTGCCTCCCTTGTGCTCTGCAGGATGCTTTAGGCTGGTTTGCTTTCCTTATTATCCCAAGAATAGCTTATCTCTTTGTGACTCAACTACATCTGTGTCTATCCATTGGATGACCATCTCACAGTAGGGAAGAACATAAATAAAATTCAACCTGGCTCAAACCCAAAAGGAAGTCTATGGGCTCAAGTAACTGGGAAGTCCAAGATGGATCCAGGGGTTCAGCTGATATCACTGGGAGTCTGTCTTTCTCCTGGTGTCTCTGCTTTCTTCTATGTCTGTTTCATTCCAAGGAAGACTTTCCCCCCATGAGGCAGAAATAGCTAAGAGTGCCTCTTTCTCAATAGCTCTAATGAAAGTGTGAGGAAAGACTCAGCAGCCAAAGGTCACAGGCCTATGGCTGAACCAATCACTGTACTTGGAAGGATGGAGTATTCTGATTAACCAGACCTGTGTCACGTGCTCAGCCCTGGAGCCAGGGGTTTGGATCAGCTTCTGTACAACATGTGCTGGAATTGGACTAGAGGCAATTAGGTCTACTAGGACTATATTCCACTCCTGTTAGGAAAACTGACTTCCCAGTTGGTGTCAGGACTGAAATCAGGATTACCCCAACCATGAGCAGAAGCACTAATGCCAAGATGCCTTTTAAATAATGTTAACACCTTCCTTGACCACAGGAAGGCAGGGTTTTGGAGGGTTTAGGTTTTAGTTTTGGTTTAGTTACGCGTTCCTTCTCTTGTAACTTACTCAGGGTGTCTGAAATTTCTGGTGTGGCATGTTGCACTTTTGATGAAGATTTTTATTCAAAATTATTTAAACACTAGGCCAAAGGAAAGATTTCCACTGACCACAAACCTTTTTGCTTGCAAAGATGAAGTACAGACAACCCTAACTTATCAACCAGTATCTGTTGTACATTTGGGATCCTGATGAAAACCATGAATGACTTTTGTACTGCTGCCCAAACCTACCTTAGATAGTATAGTACCTGCTTTCAAGTTGATGCTAGAATGTTTTCATTTTATTCACTTCATCTGATATTAATTTCAGTAATGAAAGAGGGGGTTCTTGGAGGTGATTGCCCAGTTCTTGGATCTTTCAAATAGAGGTCAAGAGCAGAGAGACAGACAGTGTTTAAATCAACAAAGCAAGTTCTCTAAGTTGATAGACAACAGGGTCCATGGGTCTCAAAATCATCTTGTGGTGGAGTTTGAGCATCCTCATGTTTCATGAAGTTCTGTTGGTTCATGCCATCATTTTTTAGAACTACTGAATGAGGCC